TGTCCCCCTTCTTGAACAGCAATTTGATGGTGGCATCCTTCCACTGCTGTGGTACGTCGCCAGTCTGCTACACGTCCACGACAATGGCGTGGAATTCGCGGAGGAAACCTTGATCTCCGTCCAGGAAAAGCTTGATCAGCTCAGCCGGTAGGTCGTCCGGCCCGACGGCCTTTCTGTTGGCCATTTCCCGTACCGCTTCCTCAACCTCAAGTAGAGATGGGATGTCGTCGAGTGGCACGCACGTGGGCCACCGCTTGACCTTGTCAGCCGCATGCAGGTCGATGGTCGGCGACTTGGTGTTGAGAAGCTTGTGGAACCACCGTGCCCACCGTTGGCGAATAAACGTGGGGTCCCGAAGGACCTTGCCGTCCTCGTCTTTGATGTTCTGAGAGGTGAACGACCTCTTACCTTCGACGTCGATCATCTTCAGGTGCCTGTAGAAACCCGCCTGATCCCCCTCGCGGCTCTTCTTCTCGAGCTGCCGTACATAGCCCTCGAAGAACTTTTCCAGTGCTCTCCACCTCGCGATGCTGCGCTTCTTCCGCGCCGCCTTGAGCATCGCCTTCAGGGTCGCCTCGCATGCGCTGTTCAGGGGGGGAGGCGGACAGTCGTAAGCACGAGGTTGTGGTCCGAGTCTTTGAAGTCGACAAGTTTGACGGAGACATTACGCACGAAACGCCGGTTCGTCTGACGCATGAGGATGAAGTCGAGGTGGTACTTCTTCCCCTTGTTGGAGCTCTGGAATGTGTGCTGCACTCCACCTTTCGGTGTCCGGAAGTACGTGTTGGTCAGGGAGAGTTGGTTGTCTGATGCCGGTCCAAGGAGTCGTTCCCCGTTGTTGTTCATACTGTCGCGTCCGTACGCGCCCATAATCTTGGCATCGCAGCACCCGTCTCGCCTCCTACCAGTGCGTGCGTTGGCGTCCATTAGCACCACGAGATGGTCACGGCTGTGAACCTCCCGGATCGCTGCGTCGACAGCAGTCCAGAAGGAGTCCTTGGCGTTAACATCACCGCCCGCGGTGGTGCGGACAGTATCCGTGGGGGCGTACCCCACCACGAAAGTTACTCCGCAGGTGCGGCCAATTTGTAGACGCACCTTCATCAACCTCAGGCTAATGCACTCCACTGTTCTACCTTCCTCGCCCACACTGTACCACATGGCCTCCTTGATCGCTACGCCCACACCGTGTACGCCCCTCTTGTCCTTAGTGCCAGCACGGGCGCCACTCCAGATGATCACGTACCCGTCGTGTGCATTTGAACCTTAGTGTGGAGCGCGGATCCGACCACTGTGTGCAGGATAGCAGCATCTCTCCGCACCCTTCCTTAACCATTATTTCCGTCTCTCAGTTGCTCGCCATCGCTCACTCTCACAGGCAACGCTGAGCAAGAGGAACGCATTAGCGCCCGTGGTATTATTGTTCCGTTGAAATACTATGTAGGACTCTAGGCGGCGGTAGGTCAGTGGATTTCTACAAGATATAGCCTATACCCGCCGAGATGGTGTCTTAGCTCTTGACAACGGTCTAGATTCATTTACTGTAAGGACGATAATCGGTCTCTTGAGGAACTTGCTTACACGAGAAACACCATCACTCATGCAAAACTTTCCTCGGGTAACCCAAAAACACCGTTGTGCTCCCCACAGCGATTTTTTCATTTTCTCAGCCGCCTTCGATCTGTGTTTCCACCTGAGAATCAAGAGCGTCAGCTTCGTTCGAGTCCTCGTCTTCGACCCTTCGTACACAATTATCTCCTATATTTGGCCTCTTCGATCGACCGGAGCTAACTTCAAGCAGCTCCTAGTCCCGCGTGCGCTTGCTGCAACACCGTTTCTAGAAATATGCGACTTTCCCGCAGCGGTAGCGGGAGGCAGGCGTGTTTCGATGAATACTCGCTACATGACCATCTCATCGAGGACGGTGTGCTCACCCTCAGGTACAACAAATTTGCCCGTGTTCCATGCGTGAGGTCGGTCCATCCGACTCAGCGTGGCATATGATAACCATTATTCCTTGTGTTCAATAAAGCTTGCAGCAAAGTGACAGCACCCCAGGTTCTCCCGGACACAAAAGGTAGAGCGTCTAGCCAGCCATTCATCACGAATGGTTTCCCAACTTTCCGTCTAAGCACCCGCATGCATTTATCCAACAGCTGTCGTTGGGTACGGGCGGGCAGCGAGAGAAGGCGGGGGCTTGTGGTTCTTCGCCTCAGCTTTGATGCCAAAAGACTCCGTATCATCCGCCAAGACCACCCACGTTCAACCGGAGGAAATATCCAGACCTTATAGGCACAGCGGCTCGTTGATGAATAGCACCGATGCAAACTATCGTGATGACCGAAAGAGTCAAATCATATGCGCAAGAGATCAACTACGGCTGTGTCGGATTATGGGATTGCGCTACATACAGCTCTGGCCGGATCTATCGTCTTGCCACCCGCCGCGCCTATTCGGGTCTCTGTCGTATCCCACCGTGCTCTATACTTGGGGTTGTGGCTAACCACAATGTAGCAGCTGGAACTTTAGAATCTGCTTCAAAGCTCGGGATACGGGAGTGGTCCCTGGAAACGACGCACATACAGGACCCTCCCAGTATAAGGTGAAATCTCTTGACACTGATGCAATATTCAAGCGTCTATTGGTACTCTAAATAGCGCCGGGTGCCCTGTTTAAGGCCGGCCAAATCCCTTGGCAAAATGAAGCCGTAGCATAGATCACCACTATTCCGTGTCACCCAAGTAGAACCTGCCATTTCGAAACCCTACAGGAACACAGCAACTTCATCATAAACCCAAAACCATAATATCTCCGGCCGGGCCAAAAATAAAAAGGTCATGCTGTTGAAAATCACTTCTTGTCAGCGTACACTAAGCAACATTCGTTACGTTGTATGATACCGCCGCCAAAACTACTATCTCATGCCGTTCTTTCTATTCGCCAGCCCGTAGGCGCGATCGGCGTAAACAGTTTCGGAAAACACGCTTAGACTCCGAGGATTCTGTCGAAGATTCTATAGTTTTGTGACTGTATTGGTCAGACGAACACTCAGCCACCAGTAAGTCGGATAGAGCGGTCGGTGCACGATGTATAAAGCATAGGCACACATAGCTTCTGTCTCCAATGCGGAGGATGGCCTAGCCTCCCCCTTCACGAGACTCTAGTGCATGACCTTTAGAAGCAGCGTTTCCCGGTTCTAGATACAAGGAGGCTGACGCCCTGGTCATTGGTCAGCTGCTTGACGCGGCCGACGCTCACAACAAAAAAATCACACCAGATATATATATATGTTAACAGCAAACGGAAAATGCAAAAACAGTCCAAAGAGACTGACGCCTTTCAGCGGCCAGCCGCCGGTCAGCGTGGTCGATGCTAAGAATGACGTCACGAACACACGCAACCACCACAACGCCCGCCAAACAAGCTGATTCTTCGCTACCCTAAAGCGTAAACTTATCCCACCATCATCATGCACGGGTCAGGAGAACAACTGCACCCCCCCTTTCATGTCGCATCACTCGGTTTCTCAACGGAATTGGTCCAGGGTGGTGTGCTCCCGACAGGCAACTGAAAGCTCCCCACGTCTCGCGAACTTCGTCCTGCCAGCTGCTTCTACGGTCGTCTACGGCACCAAGGTTCAACGAAGGACTTTTCCCTAAAAGGCGAACAAGACCGTAGCACCGACTACAAACATGTGTGCACACGCACACGCTTTTTACGTTGGTCCTCTTCCAGGGACCTTGTTTTTTCCCGCTGGTATTGACGCGTTTTCATTGGTCAGCCGCTTAGCGCGGCCGATGCAAACGAACAAAAACACACGGCGCGCACACACACGTTGGTACAAGAAACTCTGACTAGAAAGCGTGATCGTATTTTTACCTCGATTTATTAGTCGCTGCTTGAAGGCTTCCGCCATTCATGACATTGTGCTCTCTCCCCCTCCACCCTCCCAAAATCGATGATATGTGCCTTGCTACGCGGTAGCCTGCAAACCTGTTTATTTAGCATTCTGTCCTGCTTCCCGTGCTCCCCCTAGGGGCAAGGGTTATGATGTCAGAGTAGTATCGCTAAGCCCCTATGGTAGTATTGTGCCCCCCACAACTCCGGCATGTGCCCGCCAAATCGACAGACGGTATTCAGAGGGACCGGAGATATCCAACGTACAGGATTACTTGGTTATTCAGATGGTCGGTGCCCAGATATTCCACCGACGCTTCTGCAGGGCCACACACCGGCGTCGTTCAACCGGGGCGCTGTCGAGGGCCCACTAACGCTGTGCCACGTCCTAGAGCAGCTTGATGATGGCGTAAAGCATCGCACCGCCGACACCCATGATGAATGGGGTGTCCATGGTGTGCGGCGAAAACGCCTCAGCAAGGGTCAAAGCCATCGGCAGCGTCAGCAGAGCCACCAGGAACTGCCAGAACGTGGCAAACGACTGCAGACCGGTGCGCCAACCAAGAGGAACCGGGGGGGGGGGGGGGGT